CTAAAGCAGCTGAGAATTGGTCTAAAAATATTCCTGGCCTTTCTGCACTATAAATACACCTCACTTTGCTTTTTTTTTTTAAGTGAATTGCATCTGTGATAGCTCTCACAGGAGTCATTTGCTGAAGCCCTGATCTTTAATGATGGGAGACTCCCACAAAAGAGGTTTTGGGAGATTTTTCTACTCCAGTCCCATCAAAACAACGTTTCCCTGCTTGTAATATGTGAGAAAAGGGCTTGACACATTTGTTTGATCTGTCCTCGCATCTGCATCCCTGCCAAAAAACTTAATTTTCCAGGAATTCGTCTCTAACTTGACTCTGGCGAAAAGTTTAAAGAAGATATGTTCAATTCAGCTCATGACTCCATGGGCACAATCCGTTTTCTTAGCAGTCATAGGAATGTCTGTATTTCTTTGTACTTTTCTGCTTTCTTGTTTGCATTGATTCTGATTTTCTTTTTTTCATATTTCCATGGCTAGTTTCAGTCTTAGCCTTCTTTGGTGGACTCTTCTCCAAGAACTAACTAAGCCTGGATCCTGCTTAAACTTTTCTGTATCTAATTAATTTGTTCAGTGTCATTCAGCACTTTTCCCAAATTGCCATCGCTAAAATAACAAGGTAGATTTATGTATCAAATCACCAAGTTGATAGACAAAGGTTACACCTCAATTCAGACTCTTCCACCATCCCTCCCAGTAGGACTGCATCGCCTCCCTTCGCGAGCCAGTTTGCTTTGTTTTGATAGGAACTGTAATCCCAACATTTGGAATTTGGTTGGTGTTAGATTTGTGGGACAGCATCTGGCAACTTGAATCCTATAATCAATACGGCTATTTTAAAACCTCAAATTAAGTTACTGAGTTTAAGCTTTAAACGGCAAAGTGAGTTTTCTGTATCGCTCCAATCTCAGATTGAGTTGATCCTCAAAAGCTAAACAGGGTTAGAATTCATGCTTGGAAAGGCACGTTCAGAAAATCCCAGATACATGGGGACGTCGAAAGCAATAGGAAGCCTCTTTGATAAGAATGGTCAAGGAAATCGATGTCGTATCTTTAGAAGCTGAGCTGTGCTTAACATACCTACTTTTATTTAGAATAGTTCAGGCATCTGGTGTCACAGTCTATGCTCTCCAAAAGCTGAGATAATCATGCAGACGCTTGTGATAATGTGCACGAGACACTTGCTTGTTTTTCTAAATTAGGCATGCAGCCTGAGTTACCCTAGCACAAAAATACACCAAATTTAAAACAGAACTTTGCATTGAACTGTGTGGTCCAACGTGATGGAGGTCAACAGGAAAGGTTTCTCTGTATTTGTCTGTTTAAATGAGCAAGAACAAAGTTATTCTTTGGAAAAAGGGAACAATGCAATATTTGTTGTTAATTGCGAAGTCGTGTCCGACCCATTGTGACCCCATGGACAACATTCCTCCAGGTCTTCCTGTCCTCTACCATCTTCTGGAGTCCATTTAAGTTCACACCTACTGCTTCAGTGACTCCATCCAGCCATCTCATTCTCTGTCGTCCCCTTCTTCTATTGCCCTCAATCGTTCCCAGCATTAGGCCCTTTTCCAGTGAGTCCTTCCTTCTCATTAGGTGGCCAAAGTATTTGAGTTTCAACTTCAGGATCTGGCCTTCTAAAGAGCAGTCGGGGTTGGTCTCTTCTAGGACTGACCGGTTTGAACGCCTTGCGGTCCAGGGACTCGCAGGAGTCTTCTCCAGCACCATAGTTCAAAGGCCTCCATTCTTTGGCGCTCAGCCTTTCTTATGGTCCAACTTTCACAGCCATACATTGCAACTGGGAAAACCAATGCAACATACAGATCCCTAATATCAAATGCATTGGATTGCAGAATGTACTATTCTATCACGCCCCCTATAGGACATGAGCTGCACCTACAGACGTCAACATGGACCAGCTTTTTGGGGAATAACATTTCCCCAACTTTTGGCACTGACGGCGAAAATTGCATATTAATGAAAGCTACCCATTCAGATGCTTTTAGGTGTGTGGCAGACTTGAGAACAACCTGGCCAACTCATACCTGGACTGTGATTCAGGGCTTGCTGTGTGGTAGATCCGTTAGTCTCATGAATCCTACTAACAACCATAAATTGGTTAGCTGACTTCTAAATCCTTATTTTAGTTTGCTGTTTGCTCTCTCAGGCAGTGCAAATGCCTCACTGGGAAGGGGAAGACTGGACGGCTTTGGAGATAAATGAAAAAGCACAAAAGGGTTTTGAAAAGTCAGAGAGCAAGGACGGGAGGAAGGACCACGTGATGCACCTGCCAGGTATACCCAGCCCTAGATTGTACCTGGTTTCCTCATGTTTTTTGTGGCCCTCCCAACTCTAAAGGATGGAAGATGGTGCCATGCTCTTTTGTAGGCAAATCTGTGCAAAAATGATGGCGTAAACTCTTAAGTATGGCCTTACTGCTTCTAGAGACACTTTGAGTGAGATAATCAACTTCTCCCCATTCATGCAATTGTTAGTAACTTTCTTTCTAGATTTCTTTCTTATATTTCCTCACCACTTCCTCCATCTTCTTTCTTCACTCAACTTATGAAGGAGGAACAACATCTTTGCTTATCATATTGATCTTTGCTTATCTCATTTTCTTTTTCATTGTTTACTTTATTGTTTTATTATTTTACTTATTTTGTTTTTCTTTCCTTCCTTCCTTTCCTCCTTTCTTATCCATCTCCTTCCTTTCTTCCTTTCCTCCTTCGTTATCCATCTCCTTCCTTCCTTCTTTTCTTCCTTCTTTCCCTTCCTTCCTTCATTCATTCCTTCTTTACATTTTCTTTCTTTTTATTGCTGTAAGCTGCCTGGAATAGCTCCACGATGAGATAGGAGGCAAATAAATTTAACAAAGAAATATTCAGAAGATTTGGACCCTCTGTCTGAGTATCTGTGCAGAAGCTGTAGGAAAAGGGATGTGGCAGAAGATCTGAGAAAGACAATATTATATGGGGCAGATGTTCTCATTTCTTTCCCATTTTCTGGTTTGAAAATGTTTCTCTTCATATAGGACTATAAAACAATGTCTTCGGGAAGCCTTAGTCTTCTCCATAGCTCAGCTCCGCCTCATGACATTATCAACTCTCATCTTCCTGGTTGCCTTCACAAGTTCACCCTACGGTCACTTTGATGCCATTTCACAATACCACAAAGTCTGAAAAAGCCTCCGTTTCCGAGCTAAGTGTGGTTTCCTTAGCTACATCAAGAGCAGTTGTGCCCTGAAGACACCTCCAAGCTATTTATGGGAGTGAAGCCTCTTCTTATCCCCCCCCCCCAAAGGGATAGGCTATTTTATAACTGCTTTGGAAGCACAGTGGTCAAAAGAGAATCCTATAAAAAGTGTGTGTGACAGAATATAGATTTTATTCATTTTGGTCAGTGTGAAAAAAACAATAGGAGGAAAAAAGTAAAGAAGAGAGAGGACCATACCTGTAAGATCAAGTGTACAAACATGGACAGAGTAAACAGAGTAAAATAAGTGAAACTGGAATACACATCTGTTTGCACCGGTTCTCAACCTTGGCAACTTTAAGACTTGTGGACTTCAACTCCCAGAAGTCCTCAGCCAGCAAAAAATTCTGGGAGTTGAAGTCCACAAGTCTTAAACTTGCCAAGGTTGAGAACCCCTGTAAAAGTTAAACTTCTTGAGTAAAATCTATCTAAATCTCAAAGGGGAAGCCCAAATAAACAAGCAGATCTGACTTTTTGTTTTTTCTGCCCTTGAATATCTTCTTGCTGTGCCTAATTTAGTTTGCCCGTTATCAATTCTAAGTGCTGATAAAGCCTCTTCTGTTTTCCTGATAAAATTCTCTGGCCAGTTTTAAAACCACTCCGGAATCATCTGGAGAGGATCCAAGAATACCTTTCCTGGGATGGGGGGTTGGTGGTGAGCAGTTGGTTTTGCATTTCCCAATCGTGCTTTTACAACTGCTCAGTTTAGTCGCAAGCCTTGGGTTGCAAGTGTTTAATGCGTGGGCATGCAAACTGCACTAAATCATAACATTTGTTTGTTTAATATGGGTGGTTCTCAATTTAAAACCATTTGTTTAATGACCCTTCCAAGTTACAACAGTATTGAAAACATGACTTAACATTTGTCCTTGCACTTACCACCTCCCCAAAGTCAGATAATCAAATGTTGGGCACTTGGGCATTGGCGTGTATTTATGATAGTTGCCATGTCCCTGGGTCATGTAATGTAGATTTACAAAGCCCTAGTAAGACCACACCTGGAATACTGCAGCCAATTTGGGTCACCTTATCACAAAAAAGATGTGGAGAGTTTGGAAAAAAAATTCAGAGAAGAGCAACTAAGATGATCCAAGGCCTGGAGACCAAAACCTATGAAGAATGGCTGCAGGACTTGGGTTTGGCTAGTCTAAAGAAAAGAAGAAACAAGGGAGACATCATAGCAGTATTCCAGTATCTGAGGGGCTGCCACAAGGCAGAGGGGGTCAGGTTGTTCACCAGAGCACCAGAGGGCAGGACGAGAAACAGTGGTTGGAAACTGACCAAGGAGAGACGCAACCTGGAATTAAGGAGAAACTTCCTGGCAGTGAGGACAATCCACCAGTGGAACAGCTTGCCACCAGAAATCCGTTGCTTCTTGTCCTGCCTTCAGGTGCTTTGGAGAACAGCTTGACCCTCTTCTTTGCAACCTTCCTACTGCATCCCCTTTTGGCCCTCTTAAAAACCGGGGAGGGGGGGGTCTAAGATCCCAGGCTAAATGCCCCCCTCCCTCCGGTGTAGCCAGCAAGTCCCGGGGCCCTAACCTGACCCACACCTGGCCAACCGGCCCCGCGAGGAAGCCTGGAGGGCGGCGGGCGCCGGCTTGGCGAACCCGAGAGGCGGGCTGCCTCTCCAGCGTCTCCGAGGCGCGAGCGGGCGGGGGTCTCTCCCAGAATGGAAGCTGCTCAACCGGCGGGGCTAAAATTAGCGCGGCTCGGCCCGGCGCAGCTGTCCCGTCCCGTCTTGTGTCGCCTCTGGCCTGGCCGCCCTCGACGGCTCTGCGCTCGGGCCGGCCGGCCGGCCAGGCAGCGGGGCGGGGGGCGCGGGGGGCCAGGCGAGCGCTCGTCCGAGCCGGTCCCGGCCACCTCACAGAGGCCGGGCTGCGACACAGCCGGGCCGGCCGTCGGTGGCTCCCCCGGGAGACGCTCCGTCGGGGGACACGGCGACCCGTCCGCCGGGCAACACCAGCTCGTGAGTATCGCCTGCCGTCGGGCGGGCCGGGGGCTCCTCTCCAGCCTCCCCTCCGCCCGACCAGCGGGGGGGGGCTTCTGCTCGACCCGGAGGGCGCGGGGGATTCACACGTGCGCGCCTCCGGACTGTCAGGTTCCGAGCTGGGTTTGGGCTGCGATACCAGGAGACGCGTGGGTTGGAGGGCAGGGCTGGGCAGGGGGCTTAAAAGAGACCCCCCCCCCAAAAAACTGGCTGCACTGAAAAAGGGGAGCAGCAGCCTGGCTCAAACTATTGCACCCCCAACACGCAAGCCTTTGACGGCTTCACCCCACACCCTTGACCTGGGTTTTGAGTTTATCCGATTGTCTGGGCAAAGCAAGGGCAGGGGGCAGTTTTGGGGCACCCGGTCTCTAAAAGGTTTGCCATCACTGCCCTAGTGGACAATCACTTAGCTTCAGGATCCCTCTCACTCAAGATCCCTACTGCTTTGGGGCCAGATTTCACCCAACCTGTACTTGTGAGTTTGTTTTTTCTTGTTTACGTTTCCTCTGTTGTTCCTCCAAAAGTTTGAAGCAAGGACATTTACTGCTACACAACCTTTGGCTTCTGTTTTGTGCCTCAGGACATCCTTGGATGTTTTTCCATGTAGAGGTAGTCCTTGACTTATGGTCACAATTTGGACTAGAACTTCTGTTGCTAAGTTGGTTAAGTGAATTTCGCCCAATTTTATGATCTTTTTTTGTCGTGGTCATTAACCAAATCTCTGCAGTTATTAAGGGAAGTACATGAACATTAAGGGGATCCAGCTTCCCCCATTGACTTGCTTGTCAGAAACTGTCTGGGAAGGTTGCAAATGGGGATCACAAGACTCCAGAAGGCTGCAACCATCATCAGTTCTTGCAAGGATGCTGCAATGGTTGTAAATGCAAGGACTGGTTATGTTGTGTTTTTTCACTGCTTTCACAACTTTAGATTGTTGCTACAGTAGTGGCCAAAACTGTGGAAACCTTTTGGGAAAAGCATATTTTTGAGGTTTGATGGCTAATAACACCACTTTGTTTTGGAGTAGTACCATAAAATTATATATCAATGGAAAGATAATTTAACCAAGAATGTAATGCAATAAAGTTTGTTCAATTATCTGGAGTGTATTCTATGAAAAGTTATAGCCAAATAACCAGAAAAAGGAAGCACAACTTGCTTAGGTCGATCTCAGGTAGCTTTTCTTCATCGGATTGTAGCCAATGAGTATGAGTGTTTAGAGAGCCAATCAAGTGTCATCTTGTTTTGGCCATGAGCCAATCAGATCACAGTGGGATTCAGTGATTGATGTCATGTATTGAAGCTGAGAGGAGGACATTTGTCAGTGTGTTATGTGATCGCTATCCAGTTGGTTGGGTTTTTTGGTGTTCTTTCATCTAGTGAGCTTGTAAAATGTAATAAAATTAAAGTAATGGTGCAAAGAGTTGACTGGTCACCCAGAAAGCGATGTAAAATAGGCTACAGCTATAAAGAAATTAGAAGAAAAATTGTGGAAACTTAACCGAAGGTGACATTTCTACTGTACACTTTCCCCAAAAGGTTTCCACAATTTTGGCCACTACTGTAAATGAATGCAGGATCCAGTCTGGGTTGGTGGTCGGGACTAGAGGTTGAGTCTTCTGAACTTTCAAACACGTGCTGGAACCCATCCTCAGGGGACTTCTTCTAGCAGAATCTGTGCTTTGGGCTATTCTGTGTGTGGTATTTAACTGGTGCCTGTTGTGTGTGTGTCCCTTTTTAGTTGTTGATTAGAGTGTGGTTGACTGGCTATTAAGTTCATTGGCTGTTGTTTCTTTGTGCTGCCAAGCCCTCACCTCCTAAGTATTTGATAAGCTGGTGGTAAATGAACACTCCTGTTTGACTGAAGAGGGGTCCATTTCTCAGGCTTCCATCACTTCCTTGGCTGTTTTTGTACCTGCTCGTCTGACAATCTTAGTAGCTGCAAAATTGAATGTATGAAAATACTCTGGTATTTTCTTTATTTTGTAGGCAAATGCCAGGGAAGCCACCTGAAATACATTTATTTATTTATTCATTCATTCATCCAGGCTCTAGAACAGTGGTGGCGAACCTATGGCACGCGTGCCAGAGGTGGCACTCATAGCCCTCTCTGTGGGCACGTGCGCCATGCCCCAGAGATGGCAACCGTCCCTCTTCAACCAGCCTCCTGCTAACTCGCTGAGGTCCCACATGGCAGGATGCATCCCAGCATGGCTGGTTTCCCTCCTCTCCGTCCCATCCCTCCTGGCCTTGTATGCTCTTCTTTTCCCAGGCATGACCCACTGCATTGCCTCCTCAGTGGTTGGCTATCCGTCCAGCTCAGAGCGGCTTCTCTGAACTACTGGCGGCGGGCTGCAGAGCCCCAGAGTGCACCGGTCGAGGGGCCGGCAAGCTGTGGCTGATGACGGACACTGTCGGCCCCCATGCGTTCACTGGCCTCTGTGTGCAGGAGCGATGACGTCAGGCAGCAGCCACCCTGGCCCCTGCCTCGCCTTGCCCTGTGACAATGGCACCCCCGCCCTGCCTTGCCTTGCCTTACTCCACAGGATGAGCCTCCTGCCCACTGTCTCATCTGCCAGAGACCCCCTGGATCTCCCCCAACCCTGCTCAGCCCCCACAGGCATCCCTCCCCATGAGCACAACTTTGGCCACACCCACCCAGTCTGCCATGCCCACCGCAGCCATGCCCACCTAGTGGGCCACGCCCAACTGGCACATGGTGATAAATAAATGGGTTTTGGGTTGCAGTTTGAGCACTCGGTCTCTAAAATATTCGTCATCACTGCTCTAGAAAGTGCATTGTGTTTTTATGTAAATAGCATACGCTGGATTTGCTATGTGAACCAGCTGTGCCCCACCAAGAGATGCATTGACCCAGGTTGCAAATACTGCGTTTTATCCAAAATTGTTAACCCAGCCCCTGTCTGACTTCTAGCTTCCAGCACTGCACCATTCACGATGAAAGTCCCCCTCAAGAGACAGTTCAAGATGAGCCTGCTGGACATCACCAAGATGTTCTCCCTGTTCCAGCCCAGCGAAGATGAAGACGGGGACAGAGAAAGACAAGAGCTGAGTCTCGCCGTGTCCCAGGACAGCTACCAGCTGTTGGACCAACTGTTGCACCAAGAGAGATACAAACGGGTCATCAACAGTCGGAGTGGTTGGGGGGTGCCAGGCACTCCCCTGCGCCTAGCGGCCTCCAAGGGCCACGTCAGGTGTGTCAAGGTGCTCCTGGACCATGGAGCCGAAGTGGACAGCTTAGACGTCAAGGCACAGACACCTCTGTTCATTGCCGTCAACAACGGGCATCTTGACTGTGTGAAGGTCCTCTTAGAGGCAGGGGCCTGTCCTTCCGGGAGCATTCACAACAACTGCACCCCGCTGCTCACGGCAGCGCGAGAGGGAGCCCTCGCGATCCTGCAGGAGCTGCTGTCACACGGAGCAGAGCCTAACGTCAAACCCCGAATCCCGGAGTGGGCGACCAACTCCGTATCCTGCTGCGGACCTTTGTATTTGTCTGCCGTCTACGGTCATCTGGAGTGCTTCAAGACCCTCTTGCTGTACGGGGCTGAGCCCAACTACAACTGCTCGGATAGGAACATGATTGCCCGAATTAAACACCCCAAGACTCTCCTGGAAGTCTGCTTGAAGCACGGCTGCAGGACAGAGTTTGTCAAGCTCCTCGTTGATTTTGGTGCCAATGTCTACTTGCCTGGTATCACGTTGGAGAAGAGCTCAGCAAACCCTGAAGTGCTTGAGCTGTTGGCCAGAGAAAGAGGTGACTTGTGTGTGTGTGTTTTAAAAAAAATATTTAATGTAACACAAGGCTATGCAAATTATTAAAATCTCCCTCCTCTCTTCTCCCTTCCCTCTTCTCTCTTCTCCTCCCTTTTTCCTTCTCCCTTCTCCCTTCTCTCTTCTCCCTTCTCCCTTCTATCTTCTTCCTTCTCTCTTCTCCCTTCTCCTTCCTTCCTTCCTTCCTTCCTTCCTTCCTTCCTTCCTTCCTTCCTTCCTTCCTTCCTTTCTTCCTTCCTCTTTTCCTTTGAGGTTCCCTAAATGCTCTTCTAATCTTGGCAGTACCCCACTCTCGGCTCTTCTTCTTTTTTGCAGGGAAAATATATTCTTTTCTAGCTACCTTGGAGGATCCATGCTAGTCCCACATGATCTGATTTTTTTCCTTCCTTCCTTCCTTCCTTCCTTCCTTCCTTCCTTCCTTCCTTCCTTCCTTCCTTCCTTCCTTATTTATTTTATTTATTTATTTTATTTTTAAAATGTATAAGCCGCCCCACTCCCGAAGGACTCTGGGCGGCTAACAATAAAAAACACATAAAACATAACAAAACAACAATACAAAAACAATCATCCAGGAGTCAGGTTTTATAAACCCCAGGCCTGCCGGAAAAGCCAGGTCTTAAGTAGCTTACGGAAGACCAACAAGGTGGGAGTGGTCCTAATCTCCGGGGGGAGCTGATTCCAAAGCGTGGGCGCCATCACAGAGAAGGCCCTCCTCTGCGGCCCTGCCAAATGGCACTGCTTGGCCGACGGGGCCTGAAGGAGGCCCAGCCTGTGGGATCTAACCGGACGTAGGGAACTATGAGGTAATAGGCGGTCTCGCAAATAGCCTGGCCCTGAGCCATATAGGGCACCAAGAGCCATACAGGGCACCAAGAGCCATATAGGGCACCTTCCTTCCTTCCTTCCTTCCTTCCTTCCTTCCTTCCTTCCTTCCTTCCTTCCTTCCTTCCTTCCTTCCTTCCTTCCTTCCTTCCTTCCTTCCTTCCTTCCTTCCCCTTTCCACAGACTACCTATCACATTATTTGTTTCTGAAATAAGCAATGCTACACAATGTGCATAAAATGAGTACAAAACAGTCACCCAAAGCAAAAGTCACCCATGCACATATAGCTACCTCCACATTCACAACAACAGCATTCCTTATCCCTTTCCATATTTTTTTTGGGTGGGTTGCGCACAAAACGAGAAACTGGTGTTCTTTACAGCCTGGATGGAATTGACCAACCCTTTCTGAAAATTCTACCACAGGGTTTTGCATCAGTCCACAGCACAGGAGTAACAAAATTATGAACATTTGTCCCAACAATGCTTTTCAAAAGGCAGAAGCTTCTTGGATGAGAAGCGAAAAACCTTTTCAAGGAAAAAAAAGCAAGGAAGTCCAGTTGATGTTTTGGAAAAGCACCTTTGGGACAACCATGACCTGGATAATGGAGAATCCCCATAGACATTATGAATATTGGTTGCTCTGAATTCCAGGTGAATAAATTCTGGGCGTCCTGGGATGAATTTTAAGAGTTGGTAGAATAAGGGTGGTGCACAATTTTTTCTTGTTTCCCCTCTCCCCTCCAGTTCATCCTAGATCTTCCAATGTTCTCCATTTGTTGTTATTGTTGTTAGTTTCAAAGTCGTGTCCAACTCATCACGACCCCATGGACAACATTCCTTCAGGCCTTCCTGTCCTCTACCATCTTCTGGAGTCCATTGAAGCTCACGCCTCCTGCTTCAGTGACTCCATCCAGCCACCTCATTCTCTGTCATCCCCTTCTTCTCTTGCCCTCAATCTTCCAATGCTCTCCATGGTGACCCTTCTCCCCCTCCCTTTTCATCTCCAGTTTCTTTGATTATTTTGCATACTCCCCCCTCCAAGAAACCAATTCTGCCTGGAACAGCTCTATTTCAATCCATACCCAGAACAGAACAGCTAGATTTCATGCCGTGTGCAGATCAAAAACCACAAAGCATGTGTGTCTCTTTCTTCTTCATTTCTATGATGTGATGACCTTGAAGGCATAACAGGGAGTGAAATCTTTAGCAGTGTTAACTATGCAATGATGATTACCGCCTCACTCTCCTCCCGGTTCTCTCCTGCTCTTCCAGCATTCCCCAAATCCTTGATGACTCAGTGCAGACTGGCAATCAGAAGGTTTATGAAGCTGGAGAACCATCCCGAAGCCGTGGACCAACTGGACATCCCGCTAGTGCTGCTCAACTATCTCAAACACCAAGTGTAATGGAAGATCAATGCCGAATTGCCCAGGGTTACCAAGTACTGTAACTGGATAAGGAAAGAAAGAAAGACACTTCTAAGAATTGGAATGCAAGTGTGTGGCATGGTTGGCTTGGATGCATTTGATGGGGCAGGTGAAAAATAATGCGGTAGCTTAAACAGAGTTTCCCAATTTGGGGAATCTTAAGAAGCGTGGACTTCAACTCCCAGAATTCCCCCAGCCAGCATGCTTGCTGGGGGAATTCTGGGAGTTGAGGTCCACCATCTTAACACCAACTTTACATTAATATTGACCAACTAAAGCGGACAATATATAAGTGGGTTTTGCGTTGTGGTTTGGGCACTCGGTCTCTAAAAGGTTCGCCATCACTGTTCTAGTCCAACGCCCTGTTCTAGCAGGAGATCCCATATCGTTCTGGACAAATGGATGTCCAAGGTCTTCTGGAAAACCTCCGGTGATGGAAGCACCCACAACTTCTGGAAGCGAGCTGTTCTTTATTTATTTCTTTACTAGCTGTACCTGGCCACGCGTTGCTGTGGCTCAGTCTGGTTAAATGGAAAAGAAAGAAAAGAGAAAGCGCACGTAGCGTGTGTTGCTTTTACGTCCACAGATGGCGCTGTTTTTGAAAAAAAAAAGCATGTTTTTACCTGTCACAGGTGTGACATCTATATAATATAGGTATATAAAAACACACGCGTATTTGAATGCAACTTTGTGTCAAAATTTCAAAGCAATTGGTGAAGAACTTTCGGAGATTTAACATTTTCAACAAATGAACATTTACATTTTTATTTATATATTGTTCCTCATCTGCAGACAGAAATCTGGCCAAACTAGTCTTGTCTCATCCGGGGAATTCTGGGGGTTGAAGTCCACACAACTTAAAGTTGCCAAGGTTGAAAAACACCACATTGACAAGTTCATCTGGTGGCATATTATGCGTGTTTTAATCAATATCGCTTTTCTTTTGTTTAATAAGATAGGGAAATGCAAATATGGATTTAATGATTACTAGTGGAAGCTTTTTAAATTCTTTAGATAAAGGCTAATGTGATTTTTAAGAGCAAGCTCGCTACATTTAATGCCAATGTTTTTCTCCTCTCCAGAATTCTGAAGCAAAATCGGATTTATTTTAAAGATTTATTTTGTATCATTTATATTCCATCATTAATTTACAACTGCAGATTTTTCAGGGAAATTATTTTGCATGCTTGCAGCATAGTTCAGTTTAATCTGGGAAAAGAGGAAAAGAGAAGATTGCTTGTGCAAGGCACTTGCAATATCACAGCCACAATATTAATAAATGGATGCATAAATGGCAGAATTAATTGCCTGGATTCATCTTGAAGGTCACAGATTTTTTTTTTTAAATTCATCAGTGCCTTTCTCTGTTGGGACAATATCCAAGCTGGGCTAAACTGTTGCCTTCAGAACTATTTTGACAGACTTTTAATTATAATGTCTATTTTAATGATAAGGATTAATGCTTGTGAGATTAAATATGTTGTTTTTTAAAAAAAAGAATAGTACAAGTCATTTCCCACTAGGTGACAGTATTGAACTGAAAACATTACCTAGGTACCTTGACATATTGTTGTTCTATAATTCTAACAGAAGAGGGCAGAAGAGGGCAATTGCACTGGCATTCTACTTTGATGCTCCTGGAAGGTAGCAGAGGGGTGCAGTGATGGAGGTGGGATTATGTTAGATTTTGGTCCAGAGTGGTAGACTTCTTCTTATGCTGACTTCTCTTTTGGTATTTTTATGAAGATCCTAGTTTTTTTGTAATGGAAGCCTTCCTCCTCCCTCCCTCCCTCTCTCCCTCCCTCTTCTCTTCCTCCTCCTCCTCCTCCCTCCCTCCCTTCTCTCCCTCTCCCTCCTCCTCCTCCTCCCTTCTCTCCTCTCCTTCTCTCTTCCTCCCTCCTCCTCTCCCCTCCTTCCTCCCTCCTCCCTCCCCTCCCTCTCTCTCCTCCTTCTCCCTTCTCTCCCCTCCCTCCTCCTCCCTCTCTTCCTCCTCCTCCTCCTCTCCCCTCCTTCTCTCTCTTCCTCCTCCTCCCTTCTCTCCTTCCTCCTCCTCCCTCCCTCCTCCTCCTCTTCTCTCCCCTCCTCTCTCTTCCTCCTCCTCCTCCTCCTCTTCCTCCTCCTCTTCTCTTTCTCCTTCTCTCCCCTTTTTCCTCCTCCTCCTCTCCCTCCTTCCCTCCCACCTCTCCCTCTCCCTCCTCCTCCTCCTCCCTCCTCTCCCCTCCTTCTCTCTCTTCCTCCTCCTCCCTTCTCTCCCCTCCTTCCTCCTCCTACCTCCCTCCTCCTCCTCCTCCCTTCTTTCCCCTCCTTCTCTCTCTTCCTCCTCCTCCCCCTCTTCTTTCTCCAGTCCTTCTCTTTCTCCTTCTCCCCCTTTCTCCTCCTCCTCCTCTCCCTCCTTCCCTCCCACCTCTCCTTCCTCCTCCTCCTCCTCCTCTTTGGAAAAACAATTCTGAAGTAGTACAATCTAATGCAGCTTTGTTTTGTTTTGTAAAGAGAGCAATAGGCTGGTTTTAGAGCTCACACTGTCGTTTTCCCATTGTTGGCAACGACGGTGCTGTTGAACCAGAGTTGGGGGGTTGTGGAGAAGGAAGTTTGGGGTCCCCATCTCTACTGGACAGTCTTAATTACTACGCCTCATCTCCCGCGTGTAAAAAAAAATTAGGCTTTATGGGAAATCCATCTGCCAATGTCCCTTGGGGAATTAATTACCTTGGGTGTTTTGAAGCAGAGGGCAATACAGAAAACATTTGCATTGTTTTTGAATCGCCAATCTAATTACAACGTCAGAAGACTGCGAACCCTATTAACCAGCGTTTTCTAAGCCAGAGGCGGGCCGTCTCAGGGAAATGTTGAGCTCCACAATTTGGTTCTTCTTCCAAAACGGAGCTGGGGAAGCTGTTATAAAGGTAGAGCCGTGTTGTCTCAGGAAGGGCTTGGAGATTGGATTAGTCAGAGATAGGTCTTTGTGTTCTGTATTGATTCTAAAATTCAGGGTGCTGGAAACCTTGCCTGACCCTGATCATCATCTAAATCAGGGGTTCTCAACCTTGGCAACTTTAAGACTTGTGGACTTCAACTTCCAGAATTCCTCAGCCAGCTTTGCTGGCTGAGGAATTCTGGGAATTGAAGTCCACAAGTCTTAAAGTTGCCAAGGTTGAGAACCCCTGAATTGAGTGGGTCAATGGAGAGCTGATTTTTTTTTTTTTGGCAGAAGTAACTGGTGACCTCAGAAGATAATTACTGAAGAAGGAGGAGGAGGGGAGAGAGGGAGAGAAGGAGGATAACTGTGAGGTCCTTGGTGTCCTCTGCGTTTGGTTGTTTTCTTGCAGATGTTTCATTACCCAAAACCAGGTAACAGGTGAGTGCTAGAAGGGAGAGGAGTTTGTGGAGAGGAGCAGAAGGAGAAGGGGGAGGAATTATTTCTTGGCAAACTGTAATATGATTGACCCAACCAATCAAGCAATAGCCATCTATCAGAAGGAAAACAGGTGAGTTTGCTCCCCACCTTTCAGTGTTCGGAGGTCCCCTGTCTTGGGCTGAGCAATGCTTTGAAGAGCTGTGTGAAGACAAGAGCTGGCCAAGACAGAAGCCAAGGGGCTGAGATTGGCTAGGCCAGTGGTGGTGAACCTATGGCATGGGTGCTAGAGGTGGCACTCGGAGCCCTCTCTGTGGGCACGTGTACTATGCCCTGGAGATGGCAACTGTCCCTCTTCAACCGGCCACCTGCTAACTCGCTGAGGTCCCAGGTGGCTGGATGCATCCCCGCACGGCTGGTTTCCCTCCCCCTGTCCTGTCCCTCCTGGCCTCGCATGCTCTCCTTTTCCTGGGCACGACCCATTGCATTGCCTCCTCAGCTGTCAGCTGGCCATCCAGCTCAGAGGTGGGTTCGTTGAACTGCTGGCGGCGGGCTGCGGAGCCCCAGAGTGCACCAGTTCAGGGGCCAACAGGCTGTGGCTGCTGACGGACACCGTTGGCCCCTATGCGCTCGCTGGCCTCTGTGTGCGGGGGCCGATGGTGTCAGGCAGCAGCCACTCTGGCCCTTGCCTTGCCCCATGGCAATGGCACCCCCATCCTGCCTCGTGTCACCCCACAGGACAAACGTCCTGCCCACCACCCCACACATCTTAAAAATTGCCAACCTTGACCAGCATTGCTCTAGGCTCCTGGCAATTACTCCACTGGACAATCTCTAATCTAGCTTGCTTTGACACTCCAGTGAGCAGGATGAATGCTAAAATTCCCCCGTGCTTTCCTTTGAACTTGATGTTGTGCAAATGCTACATTCTGAGCTCTGTAGTTTTTCCATTCAGCATGCAGAAAACGTAAGGGGTGTCTAGCCTGAGTTTGGACGCAGGGCTTTCTTTCCCTGCTGAAGTGAAACAATTGCAAAGAGGGAGAGGGGGAGAGAGAAAAAGAGAGGGAGGGAGGGAGAGGGAGAGGGAGAAAAGACAAGCAGGGTCAGGAAGATTTTAAAGAGATAAAGAAACAGTATGTCCTTAGCTTGAAAGAAATTCCTAATCTGATTTGCATACACTTATGAAGAAGAGTTTCCTGGTAAGTAGTGCCATTTTCCTATCTTTTGTATTTGAAAACACCACCCCAGACTAAACAGCCTGTTTCCACGTAGGCTTCACAAAATGGGGATTCACATTTATTGGCTCTTCGTCAACTGATTAGACAATTGGGCAGCCCAGAAGGTGTGTAGTTATGATACCCTTATCAACCAAGCTGTATTTTTATTCCTTTATTGCACCGAACCTGGCAATGATTCAGAACTTAATGCCAGTTTTCAAGTCCTTCTGACCTGAGAAGAATTTGAACTGATAAATCTGAGGAGCTGAATTGGCCCAGAGAGAGAATATTTAGAATAGAATAGAATAGAATAGAATAGAATAGAATAGAATAGGATAGGATAGGATAGGATAGGATAGGATAGGATAGGATAGGATAGGATAGGATAGGATAGGATAGGATAGGATAGGATAAGATAGATGGAATGGAATAGAATGGAATATATGGAATGGAATGGAATGGAATGGAATGGAATGG